CACCGACGTACTCCTTCCTCCTATATATACCTACGCACCCCCAAACGATCATATACGGAGCCAAAACCCTAATTCCACCGCCGCAACTTTCTGTATCCACGAGATCCCATCTTGGCGCCTGTTCTGGAGCTCCGCCAGAGGGGGCATCGATCATGGAGGGCTTCTACATCAACACCATAGCCTCTCCGATGATGTTTGAGTAGTTAACCTCAGACCTACGGGTCCATAGTTATTACCTAGATGGCTTCTTCTCTCTTTTTGGATCTCAATACAATGTTCTCCCCCTCTCTTGTGGAGAACTATTCGATGTAACCTTCTCTTTGCGGTGTGTTTCTTGAGACCGATGAATTTTGGGTTTATGATCAAGTCTATATATGAATAATATTTGAATCTTCTCTGAATTCTTTTATGTATGATTGGTTATCTTTGCAAGTCTCTTCGAATTATCAGTTTGGTTTGGCCTACTCGATTGATCTTTCTTGCAATGGGAGAAGTGCTTAGCTTTGGGTTCAATCTTGCGGTGTCCTTTCCCAGTGACAGTAGGGGCAGCAAGGCACGTATTGTATTGTTGCCATCGAGGACAACAAGATGGGGTTTTCATCATATTTTATGAGTCTATCCCTCTACATCATGTCATCTTACTTAAGGCGTTATTCTGTTTTTAACTTAATACTCTAGATGCAAGCTGGATAGCGGTCGATGAGTGGAGTAATAGTAGTAGATGCAGGCAGGAGTCGGTCTACTTGTCTCGGACGTGATGCCTATATACATGATCATACCTAGATAATCTCATAACTATGCTCAATTCTGTCAATTGCTCAATAATAATTTGTTCACCCACCGTAGAATACTTATGCTCTCGAGAGAAGCCACTAGTGAAACCTATGGCCCCCGGGTCTATCTTTATCATATTAATCTCCAACTACTTAGTTATTTCCTTTGCTATTTTACTTTGCCTTTATTTTACTTTGCATCTTTATCACAAAAATACCAAAAAAATTATCTTTATCATATCTATCAAATCTCACTCTCGTAAGTGGCCGTGTAGGGATTGACAACCCCTATTCACGTTGGTTGCGAGGATTTATTTGTTTTGTGCAGGTACGATGGACTGGCGCATAGCCTCCTACTGGATTGATACCTTGGTTCTCAAAACCTGAGGGAAATACTTAGGCTACTTTGCTGCATCATCCCTCACTCTTCGGGGAAAACCAACGCAGTGCGCAAGAGGTAGCAAGGGTTCTTTTTTGTCGACGATCTGATGTTTCAACCTTGTTTTCCAGGCGGCCAACGCATCGCTAAACTTGGTCATGGCGTGTTTGTTTATCTTCTTCATTGCCAGGTCCTTATCTTGATCTTTATTATCCTTTTCATTACGGTCCGAGAACAAGAATATCTGGTGCAGCTTCTTTAGGAGGGAGGGCCTCATATTATCTATCTTCTATAGTTGTCCGTACAATGCAACCTATTTGATTGCCGTAGCACGATTGCGCTTCCTCGGGCGCTATTGTCTCAAAAATACCGTCGTCCATCTCCGTGACCACCAGTCTAGTACTCATGAGCTGGTTTAGGCGTCGTGGCCTCTTTGTTTTCGGTTCTAGACTAACTCCGCTAGTCTCGGCGCCGGTCTCAGTCTCATCACCGGTCTGCAGGTCCGTATCAGTCCCCGATGCGACAACACAGTCGCTGCAACATGGGTAAGGGAGACCACATCAGTGCTGGGGGGTCCGAAAATCGGGACACACTTTCGCGCGTCGTGGGCCGCCTCTCAGACAGCTACTGGGGAGGCGACGGAGTACCTGGGTGCGCGGCGAATCCCCGGGAACTCGGTGACCAACTTCCTTCCCGTGTGGCACATGGAGACGACGGCGACCCCGGCGAAGAGCAGCTTAGCCGCGAGCTGCACAGCCTCGTCCACCTCCTAAGTTGGGACCTCCGCGCGAGCGTTGCGGGGCGCCGCTCGGATGGCTTCTGGAAGGCGGTTGTACATGGGCACAGGGTGAATCCCCGACGAAGGCGCGCGCAAGTAGACAACGACGTCCCTGACGAAGAGCTGCCCGGCCAGCTCGCCTCACTCTCCTTTGATTAGAAATGAAATATTGGGAAGAAGCAGACTTGAGCCTGCAGGGAAAGGATAAGGTGACGATGCAGTCTCCACTCGTTCGGGGCGACACGCGTACTGAATGTATGAGAAATGTGACGTGGCAGAGACCCCAAGAGACTCCCTCCATTTATTTTTAATCTGCATATAAAGTTTGGTCAAAGTCAAGATTTGTAAATTTTAACTAACTTTATAATAAAAAAATATCAACATTCACAATATGAAATCAATATTACCAGATGCGTCATGAAATGTATTTCCATACTATATAGTTTTGGTATTGTAGATGTTCATATTTTTTAGTATAAATGGGAAGTAGAGGCACTCTTCCATATAATGAAGTTTATAATATATGTGCTTATATTGTACTACAATTGTTTGAATAGCTTAGCATATGTTCAGATGTATGATATCTGTAATTTAAGCGCTTGAATTTTACATATAAATATTTATTAATAAATATGTACCCCTATAATAGCTAGGCCGTGCAGTTGCACGGGTAGATGACTAGTGATTACAATCTTGTTTGTGTGCAAGTCAAGCTTATCTAGTTTACACGTAACAACTTGTAGAACATTACAAAATTTATGCTTGCTAATAACTTCTAGAACACTACAACACTTGACATGTAAAAGGAATTTGACGAGTGATGGCCTACTAAAGCAAGTTATATTACTAGTCTTATCTATCTTAACAGACCACACAAGATTACGAACTAAGTACCGTGACAGCCATGCTTATCTAGTTTATGCGTAACAATTTGCAGAAAATTACAAACTTAGTTTCAGAAAAATAGGCAATCTAGATTAGTGTTTGAGCTGTAAAGTGAATAAGATGAGTCATGCATGTTATCACACATTTTTGGTGGTGGAATGATAGTGCAACAACAAGGAACTTTAATGACCAGTCCAAGAATACACTTGTAAGTAGTGCGACCAAACAGAACATACCAAATGATGATTTTCAGAAGCATCCAAGCACTTTCCACACAAACAAATGCCAATTGTGAAAGAGATCATTCCATGGCAGCTATAAATAGCCCCATAGCATGACGATCATCCTTCCTCATCCATCATTCTCATTAGTAGAGCGCATCATTTAAGCCAAGCAAGCTGTGGTCAATACAAATCCACCATGAAGACCTTTCTCATCCTTGCCCTCCTTGCTATCGTGGCGACCACCGCCACAACTGCAGTTAGAGTTCCAGTGCCACAATTGCAGCCACAAAATCCATCTCAGCAACAGCCACAAGAGCAAGTTCCATTGGTACAACAACAACAATTTCTAGGGCAGCAACAACCATTTCCACCACAACAACCATATCCACAGCCGCAACAATTTCCATCACAACAACCATATCTGCAGCTGCAACCATTTCCACAGCCGCAACTACCATATTCACAGCCACAACCATTTCGGCCACAACAACCATATCCACAACCGCAACCACAGTATTCGCAACCACAACAACCAATTTCACAGCAGCAGCAGCAGCAGCAACAACAACAACAACAACAACAACAACAACAACAACAACAACAAATCCTTCAACAAATTTTGCAACAACAACTGATTCCATGCATGGATGTTGTATTGCAGCAACACAACATAGTGCATGGAAGATCACAAGTTTTGCAACAAAGTACTTACCAGCTGCTGCAAGAATTGTGTTGTCAGCACCTATGGCAGATCCCCGAGCAGTCGCAGTGCCAGGCCATCCACAATGTTGTTCATGCTATTATTCTGCATCAACAACAAAAACAACAACAACAACCATCGAGCCAGGTCTCCTTCCAATAGCCTCTGCAACAATATCCATTAGGCCAGGGCTCCTTCCGGCCATCTCAGCAAAACCCACAGGCCCAGGGCTCTGTCCAGCCTCAACAACTGCCCCAGTTCGAGGAAATAAGGAACCTAGCGCTACAGACGCTACCTGCAATGTGCAATGTCTACATCCCTCCATATTGCACCATCGCGCCATTTGGCATCTTCGTACTAACTGAGAAGAAAATAACTCTAGTACTAGATATATGAAACACCGTTTTCTCAGTCCATGGTTTGGTCGTTGTAGCGGTGAAAAAATAATGTGACATGCACTATCATGTAAGAACCCGAACTATACTAGTTCAAACTTGGGAATAAAAGACAAACACAGGTCTTGTCTACATATTTATGTTGCATCTATTTATATATTAAAAGTAATATAAGGTGAACCAGGAGCAAGGTAAATATGCTAGAAAATTGCACGTTAATTAGAAATTACTAGCCCTCGATCTGGTAAATCTTAACAAATAGAATTATCTTGACCGTTAGATTTATGTAACATATATAATGCTCTGGGCCTCCAACGACTGTACGTGACACATCTGAACGAACATATGTTAAAGAAAATATATTTGGTAAATGGTGGGCCTCTTTAAAAAGAGAACTCACGTACATGCACCAACTAAGAAAAACACAACTTCAAAAAAAAAACTAAGAAAAACACATACATGTAAACGGGAAAAGGATGAGATTTTCTCACGTACGTGCTCCCTGGCTCCACCCCGTTGAAAAAATATACATCTGGAGGCCACTTTGTTTCCTCATCGAAAAAACCTTACGTTAAAAAGACGATTGCATGCATCCCAGGGAAAATAGTCAAGAAGAAGTCGGACTTTTCCTTACAAAAACAAGGAACGTGTTAAGTTGACTTCAAAGAAAAAAGGAACATGTTAAGTTAAAAAAAACAAGAAACCTGTTAAGTTAGAAAAAAACAAGGAACGTGTTGTCCTAGGAAAGATATGTGTCAAATCTTACAAAAAAAAGAATACACACACGTACGTTCATGCACTTGGAAAATAGAAAAAAAAGGAAACATCACGTATGTATACACTTCGGAAACTCATTATATGACCATGTCTGATATACTCCTCCAATGCTTAATATTAGTGCCTAATAATTTATATTTAAAATTTAATTTACTGATCAAATATCCCCACTGTTTAAATTTTAATTTGGCACATTATTTGGCTATAGTATGAACCTAAATTTCCTCTTATTATTATATATCATGGTAATAATCCAAAGGCGACTAATCTGCGCCGGCGCACCGGCGCAATCAATTCGGCTGGACACAGCGCGGCCGTTTGATTAGATTGCATTTAACCGTCAGATCTGGAATCATTTTCTTTCCAATTAAACGGATTCAACCAAACAGCAGAGGGAAAAACAAAGCAGCGCCGCCGCCAACACTAGCCATGGACGACCGATGTAGCAGAACCTTGAAGAACCGCCGCCGGTCGCCACCCTCGCCGCTGGTCGCCGCCCTCGCCGTCGGTTACCGCCGGTCGCCGCCCTCGCCGCCTGCGTTTCTCATCGGCTTCATGCATGCAACAACATGCACTCATGGTTGCAGGCTTGCATCTCCGGCTCCGGGGGACATGGCCGCATCTCCGGTAGCGCCGGCCGCCGGCCGTAGCACCTGTCGTTGTGGTCGCGCTGTACCTCGCCGTGTGCCCTCCCGAGGCTCTTGCTAGTTCCAACAAAAAAGATACCTATTGTAGCAAAAAAGTACCGCTTCCAGCAAAAAAGCTTACCGCTACAGCCCGTCACCATCATTATAGCAAAAATGTTAACCAGATGTAGCTTGTGTGGTTGCCGATTGCAGCAAAAAATGACATGGTTGTAGCAAAACACAAAAGAAAAACGCCGGCCGACCGCTGTGTATGGTGGTAACAAACCCTATAGCCGGTGGTAGCGAAAAACTTCATAGTTTGCAGCAAAAAATGTTGTCACCCGTCGTCAAGGTTGCATCATCTTCATGAATTATGTCGCAAAAAAACGTTGTCGCCGGTAGTAGCAAATGAAGCCGCCGGTAGTAGCAAAACAAGACACTTGTTCCAGCCAAAAAAAAATCAGCGACAAAACCTTTGGTTGGTTCCAACAAAAAAACTTGTCGGTTGTAACATCCCTCGCCGCCGGATGTAGCATCTCCCGGGGCTGGTTGCAACACTCCATAAAAAAAAAGTTGTCTATGAGCGCATCCATGGCGACTGCTGCACCGTCAGCAACGAGGGGAAGAGGAGGCAATGAAAATCGTTCGAGTCGTAGCTCCAGAGGACGCGGCTGCAGCATGGGGAGTCCAAAAATCTGTCACAAGCAACATGCGCCTCGCCATCCTCCTGCGCAGGAGAGAGAAGAAAAAGGAATAAGAGGAAGAATAAAGGAAACGGGAGAAAGAAAAAAGAAATGATTGGTCGTTGGCTCAGGCAATTAGTCAAACGAGGGGCACGCGGAGCCCCAGGATACAGGGAAATCGAACGAATCGCGCGCGTCCGGCCGAAGACTCGGCCGGACTGCTGGTTGGAAACGTTTCCCTAATCCAAAGGCTTTGTCTGAATGACAAGTCGTCTGGGTTACCGGCTAACTAGAAAAAAGATAAATATGCTATAGAATTCCATAATAATTAGAAATATCTAGCCTTTAATTATGTAAATCAGAAAATCACAACCGTTGGATTTACTTTAAAGGTAAATTTCTCTAAATTCCCACCATTGCCAGTATGTAGAAACATGTGCCGCTTCAATTCTCCCATAATCACCAATCAATCAACAACACAAAACATACCTCAGTTAAAAAAAACTGAACAAAAAAAAGAAAAAAAGAAGAAAGGACAAGATACACGCATGTACACGACAGCCTTGGCTTGAAACACATCAGTAGATCTAGTGTCCGCCTCCCTTACACAGCATAAATTCTAGGGAAGAAAATAATAGTGCAACCTAACCTTATACGTACTATTCTATCCTCACGTCCCATGAGGTTTACTAGCCTACCGCCGCCGCATCATGCCATCCTCTCCTTTCAGCTCCCATGCTCTCCAGCACCCTCCTTGCCGCGCCACTACTCGCCTAGGGATATTGCTGCTCAGACCGTGGAGCTTAACCTGCTTCTTCTTCAGCAAATATGGAACTGCTTTAGGATCCTTCTCACATCAGCACGTATGGGCCTCATTATACTGCAGCTCCTGGACCTCCTATAATTGGTTGGCTATGGCCAGTTGTCTTAAACACAAGGTTTTGGGAAACTGCACGACACCCGTTAAGGGTGTGGATATATCATATATATAAGGGGTACACCAAGGTATACGATACAATATACAAGACATATACAGAAGCTATATGTAAATACAGTCTAACACCCTCCCTCAATCTTAACTATGCCCTGAAGTATAAAGTATGTTAAGATTGCGCCTGCAGCCTACAAACTGAGGTTGTGGAAGAGGCTTCGTGAAAATGTCAGCAAGTTGATCTTTGGAGGAGATGAACTTGATGTGGAGTAGCTTCTGTGCAACACGTTCCCGTACAAAATGATAGTCAACTTCTATGTGCTTTGTCCGAGCATGAAACACTGGATTAGATGAGAGATATGTAGCTCCAATGTTATCACACCAAAGGACAGGCGGCTGAGTTTGAGGAACTCCCAACTCTCTCAATAATGACTGTACCCATATGATCTCAGCTGTAGCATTTGCAACGGCTTTATATTCTGCTTCAGTGCTACTCGTGGACACTGTAGCTTGTTTGCGAGCAGCCCAGGCGATCAAGTTAGGACCAAAGAAGACAGCATGTCCCCCCGTGGATCGCCTGTCATCTGGATTACCAGCCCAGTCTGCATCTGAAAAAGCTGAAAGTGCAAAAGACGGCGATGGCTGAAGAAGTAAACCATATGCTGCAGTGAGGCGTACATAACGAAGAATACGCTTCACCGCTGACCAGTGAGTAGTCTGAGGAGCATGAAGAAACTGACAAACACGATTGACTGCATAGGAGATGTCAGGCCGAGTGATGGTCAGATACTGCAGACCACCAACAATACTGCGATACTTAGTAGAGTCATCCGAAGTGAGAGGATCTCCATCAAATGCAGACAAACGATCAGTAGCAGACATAGGAGTCATGGCATGTTTACACTGTAGCATACCTGCCTTGCGCAGCAAATCCATGGAGTACTTATGTTGAGTGAGTGTCAAACCAGCAGGAGAACGAGAGACTTCCAAGCCAAGGAAGTAATGCAACGTGCCTAAATCCTTCACCGCAAAATCACCACTCAAGGAGGAGATGAGACGATCAGCAGCAGCATCAGATGAGCTGATGAGAATAATATCATCAACATACACCAGCAGATACATCGTCACCTCAGGCCGATGCAGAAGGAAGAGTGACGTATCAGCAGTGGAAGGAACAAATCCCAGGGACCGAAGAACAGAGCCCAACCTGGCATGCCAGGCACGAGGAGCCTGCTTCAGCCCATAGAGCGCCTTGACCAGACGGCACAGATGATGGGGGCGAGCAGAATCCATAAATCCTGGTGGCTGACGCATGTAAACCTCCTCATCCAGAACTCCATGCAAAAAGGCATTCTGAACGTCCAGCTGACGAAGAAACCAGCCTCGAGTAACAGCCAAGGATAACAGAAGTCGGATAGTCGTTGGTTTGATCACCGGACTATATGTATCCTCATAGTCAACACCATACCGTTGTTTGAACCCTTTC